GCTGAACAGTCTTGCAAATGAACCAATCATTTTTGGTGGAATTAAAAACAAAAAAGAAGATGGTCTACATTAACACGTATTTCGAAGCTACCTACAAGTTTCTAGAATGACTACTTGTACATGTTAAACTATCGTATTACTTTTGACTGGGAAAATAAAAAGATAATTAGTATCGCGTTTAATTGTTACTAGTGAAATATTCATATTTCCTAGTGGTTAGTTAGTTGGAGAACAAATGCAAATTCACTTGTGCGATGAGAAGAAGGTTGAAAGACGATGTCATGGTGATAGCGATAGTGACTGACTGGTTTCAACGTAGAACTTTGCACAGATGTGCAGCAGCAGTTCGAGTTGCAACACTCCCTCTTTGTAGCACACAAAACAGGAAAAGAGAGATTCAAAAGAAAGATAATAAACACAAGTATAAGGCAAAAAGGAATAGTAATATGGAAGAACAAGAGTTTTATTTGATATCATAAATCACAAAGAGTGAATGCATCTGCACCAGACTAGCCATTGACAACGATCACGATCACAAATTGTCTTCACCCACTGGTTTTACTATCTAGCGAGGAACCCAACCAATCTGGCAGTCTACAACGCCCCACGTGGCTGGCTTAAACTAACTGTTGTGCATTTCGTTGACTGAGGAAGCTATGCTTTGGTTTGACTACCACTAGCTAACTCTTTTCAAACTTGATCCACCCCATGTCAGCTGACATTGCCCGTCGAGGAAGGCGGTGGCTGGGCAGATATGCATAAAACATGTCCTAAATATCTCTCTCAATCGATGCAGCTGATTCACAACCTCGTCGATTTATTTCCCCTACCTCTCTACCTGGCACTCGAACACCGATGCCTAACCTCAATATTGCTCACCTTATTATACTACTTCAAGCGGGAGATAGAACACAGGCACGTATGATCGAGTACAGCTAGCCAGGCTTTTCTTATCTTCCACTTCCAATGGCCATGTCCAACTCACAGCCATAAGGGAGGACGGGGCGGACTGGTGAGCAGTACACACGCCGTTTGGTCGACCGCTGGTTATCAAGTCTACTAAGCCAGAGATGGTGTGAGTTCGCAGGCGTATGCCAGACTAGTCTTTTGTATCCGTGCTGAGATTTCATCAGCGGTCGACCTGCTGTCACTGGCTGATGCAACCTCGCAAATAAGTAAAGTGGTCAACACACTCCACCAAACACTTCACTCCACTTTGTCTTCAAGCTAGGAGTCGACATCGTCCAGTCCTGTGGTATCATCTTACATTTGGCGGGAGCGAATAGCATGCTAAACATTCGCAGATTTCCGCTCAATGTGTTTAAAAGATTTTGCTTTTTGTCAGCGTCTTCACCTCACCCAGAAGGAATTTATCATCTACATATTTTCAGTCAACGAGATTATTCCCTTGTAACAGAAAAGTCAATCCCTGAGTTGCTGAAGTCACCTAGAGTTAAATTCATTAGTACATCTATGATAAACTGCAGAGGAATGGGGACAGTGGGCATCCCTCACTGACGGACACCACTGGTTGTCATCGTAATTGTCAGTTGACAACTCTCCGTAGGCTGTCATCTGGCTGACTGCATGAGTTCGAGTAGAGTGAGTGCCTTGATCGGCGCGATGTGTTTTCTCGGCATTCCCTTCATAGCAAAACATCGCAATACTATCTCTTGATTGACAGAATCGAATACCGCTTTCAGGTCAAGAAACATGACAGTTGTTTGACGCCGATATGTATGCATATGTTCTAGAATTTGTCAAGGGATGGAGATATGACCAATACATCCTCTTCTTGGTCTAAAGCTTGCGTGGTTATCTCGTGTTTATTCCTCCCCAGCACCGCTTAGCTTGTAACAACAGAACATTTATTAAGGAAATCAACACATTTTTATAGATTTTCATTTTTGATGTGGTTTTGTTCTCTGAGCTCAGAGAACAAAACCACATCAAAATTATCCACCTGAGCTACAAATCTTCTCTATCATATAGATTTTCATGTACATTATTATAGATTATTGTTAGCAGAAAAACACAGTACTCTGATCGATTGCTTCTCACTGAAAGTTAATCTTTCATCTCTCTGTGGCTGTTTCATGAATGTCAGATCATCTATATGCTAATTGTATCCGCCTACGCAAATTCTGCTATGGTTGGTTGTTGAATCAGTTTTTGTTCTTATTTTTCTCACGACCAATGTTGGCGACGTAAGCACTGACGTAAATTCCTGTCTGCCAATTTGGCTAGCAGCCAGCTCTCACCACAAACTTATGTGTGATTATTGAGCCTAAAACTTCAGATACCGCATTAGTGAAGCTAATCCCCCCTGTGATTATTACAGGAAGATTTGTCTCCCTTCTTGTATATCGGGATATTCAGTGACTTACACCCGCCCGACGGGACCTCCTTTGACTCCCAGACGCTGCCTAATACTTTAGTTAACGCAGGGTGCAAACTGTCTCCACTGTTCTTTAAGACCTCTGTAGCTATTCCATCAGGCTCCACCGCTTTGAGTCGTTTCAGACTAGTGACAGCTTTTGTATCCTCAGTTAGGGATGGAGGATCTACGTTTGTATCCCATTAAGGGAGGTTTTGGATGCTGGGTAAGTTGAGCGTGTCTGTAGGCCGACTGAATCACTCCTCGAAGTTTTCTTTCCAACGTTCTAGTCATCTATCCTGAGAGCTGTTTATCTCGGAGATTGTTCCACTTATCATTTTCCACCTCTTCCCCTGATAAGTCTAAGTGGTTGTCTGATGTTATCTATAGCCGATGCCTTCTCCATCTCTTTCGCTTTTGTCGCCCACTATTGTTCACGGCCATTGTGAAGACTTCGTGCTAGTTTGCTTTTGAGAAGCTTTCGCTCCCTATTATATTCGGAGCTCGCAGCAATCAGTCTTCTTGCCTTAATCAGTTCGGATGAGGTGGTAGAAATTCAGTGGCTCTTACTAACGTAAGGTTTCAGGTTATTAACAGTTTTTACAGCTAACTGTATGTTGTGCCAGGCTTCCTCAGGAGGAGTCTTGTTGTCAACCTCAGATACTCGTTTCGCTATTTCTTCTTAAATAGGGACTCAGTGTCTCGCTCTAGTTGGGGACAAAACTGCTTCGCTGCCAACAATTTTTTATATCCATTTAATCGTAAACATAAACGTACACGAACCAGGGCGTGATCGGAGTCCACGCACGTGCTCCAGAAGGAGCGGCAGTCTTCTACTGACCCTCGCCAACGACACCCTATCGCTATATGGCCTATTTGAGTCCAACGTTGATTTGGTGATGGAAATCACCAGGTTAGGCAATGTCTCTCTTTGTTCCTAAAGTTAGTGCTGACTAGGAACAGGAACTAGGATTATCTGAACAGAACTGTAGAAGACAATCGCCGTTGTCGATTCACCGGCAGAGAACTCCATACATACTACCAATATACTCCTCAGTCTCGCAAAACTCCCCTACTAGGGCATTGCAGTCGCCTGCTAAAACAACTGTATCTGGCGTTCTGCTTTTCGCGGCAAACCAGACAGGTTCTGATAGAAATCATCTTTTAGTTCATCCGAACTGCAATCTGTTGGGGCGTAAGCGAAGACTGCGAAAAGACAACGACGGGTAGAGCCATCCTTTATTCTTCTAATGGACCTGTTCAGACGGATCGCACACATACGACTATCTGTTGGGATCCAATCAAGTGATTTACCTGTCCTAACACTCAATGCTATTCCTACCCTTGAGTCCTCGCAAACTAGCTAAGGAGTCTTCTGAGACCCTTAAGGTGAATTTTGCAGACTCACCTTGTTGGCCGTGTGGATTTAAGTGAATGACCACACTCAGGTTTTGTATGCATGTCTCCGAAACACAACACACATCAATGGCTCGAGATGCCAGAGTTCTAGCTAGTGATGCCTATTTCCCGATTTGGCAGAGGCTCCTGACGTTAAATACTTCTATATGAAGTTTGCGACGTGGCTTCAAGAGGCTGTCGGAGGTGTTTCTATGGCTCTCATCGTTGTTTGTGGTCACAGAGTGAAGATGACTTACTAGCCTGAATAGTAGTAGTAAGATGATGAACGTGATGTGGGTAAAGGAGAATGATGCTCGGGGAGATTTCGTGTGCTTTTGAAAGTGTGTGGGCGATTGTTACTTCCCGGCTGCCCACACCCTAGAAGTTGATTGATTCTTTGGATACCTGAGACAGAAAGAGGGTTAGTGTTGCATGACCATGGAGACAACTGCTTGAGGCCGGTCACTGGCTTTCTGGTTTGGTTCCGTATTAGTGACTTACCACTGGTTACGGACCACCGTAGGGTAAGTCGGGATTTACAATTCTCGGGGTCAACCTTTTCTAACCCCCTCTCTCCAGAGTAGAGAGACAGCATAGGTGACATACTGGTCATCTGAGGGAAACCACCTTACTACTATTACATCCCTATTTCCCAACAGTACCACTTTGCCCACAGACCCTAGCATAGTGTAAAAAAAATCTTACACTGCTCTGGTGACTGCTTTTGGTCTAATCGATGTCCTAACCGTCTTCCTGGCATGATAGGACCTTAAGGAACAATAGTTCCAGCCAGTGTAGCTTGGTTGGGTTATTGTGATATGCAAACCCGACTACCACGTCAAGGTAGCAGCTGTCGGTCGGGTATCGAGAAATAAATTACTGCTATACTGTTAGTAGAGCTCAATTACCCAGTACTAGAGTATGAGTCACACTTATTGTGTCTGTGCTTATGATACTACCTAGTTCCCCAGGCCCAGCAGGACTCGAACTCGGGACCCACAAAATGAAAGTCAAGCGCTTAAGCCAACGCACTCCACCTCCACAGTTACTGCTTATGGCGTATACTACCCATGAGCGTAATGAATTCAAGATTAAATAAATAACGATAATCTACAGAGCTAAAACCGAATGTGTTACACATGTCGGTCGCTTACAAACGGAAAACATCCGATACAACGAACACTTTTTGTTGTTGTTGAAAAAAACCCTATTAAAAGACAAATATAATTTCACAAAAATTTCTAATTAATCAAATCGCAAAAAACAATCAGAAAAATCAACAGTTTAATGCCTCGGGGGGTGGTGGAGACATTAACCACTTCATAATATTACATAAACAGGTATACATAAGTAGGTACAATATTAGCGACAAGTGTAAATTGGAATGTCGTATAAATAGGCATGTAATAGTATTTGGAAAATTATATATATATATATATATAACTTAATAGGAAGGCGTGAGTGTAAAAACAGATAACGGATAACAGGAAGCAGTAGAAGGACCTACAAAACAGATTAGAATGTTGTGTTAAATAAAAATGTAAGTGTAAGGGGGGATTTTCGAATCGAAAGAAAAGGAAGTACTCGTGATAACTCAAAAAAAGCACATAACCGCAATGTTTTTCTTCAAATTTCGTTGTTCATTCATTCATTCATTCCATTGATGAAATCTGTGTCCAGCAAAGACATATTACCGTGAATATAAATAATATAAACTAACTATATAAAAAGGTGTGCAGTCGTAGTTATGTATTGTAGTTTTAAACAATTACAAAATAATGTCACTAAATAAAAAGGTGAAATTAGAAAAAAAAAGCTATGAAACAATTGCGTTATACAAATAAATTACATAACTAATAAATAAGTGTGAAATTTTGTGATTGGAGGTATTCATTTTCTGTATTATATAATAGCTGTTGAAAATATGTACAAGAGAATTATTATTTGACAGTAATACATTTCAGTTTAATTTATGTAGTTTGTTTAAGTATACGAAAAACGTTATTATTAATGAATTATTTACGTTGATGTTGGACATGGTCGTTTTGATTTAAGGATCATTGAACGTCTACTACGTGAACCAGATGATGTATATACACCGTCTGGATTTACATATTCATCGACAGGTTTGCCTATATCATTCATAGACGAAAATCGAGGAGTTACATCGTCTGGTTGATCAGATGGATGAAAAGCTTTAGGTCGTGGGATAGTAAGAATAATTGGAGGCCGATGTTCTTCGTGGTCGTCATAGGATTTTCCAGATAAATCAGGAGAAATTGTAACATGTCCATTTAAATGAGCAGTTTGTGTTATAGACTCATCACGCAAAACTTGACTAGAAGGCTCCAGTTTAATATTAAAATCAAGGGAATCATTTTCAGTACCAGAATGTCGTCTTTTTCTGTTAGGAGTATATTGAGGAGATAAGTAATCAGAATCATTTTGGCGATATTTTTGTGATGCAGGACTATGATTTACAGGTGACAGAGTTTTGTTTGATGTAGCTCCTAACGTTGACAAACTTATGTTTCGACCTGGTGTATTTGCTAGTTGCAGGAGTTGACTGTCAGTATACAAAAAATAATCATCCCTGTTCAATCTACTGGCACACATAGCTGCGGATTTAAAACGTTCAGGAACATGAGCATGAACACCTAATATATGCTTTCTTACATCTCCAAAACCATGATGTGATGTAGTTAAGCAAGCACAACAAACGTAAATACGTTGAGTAGGGTTCGGAGCATCTCGTAAACGAGTGATATAAACTGAATGTCTAGCATACACTTTCATTCGTTCATGTAAGCTAGCAATGAAGCTATCACCATCAGGCAAAACAGATCTCACTTGATGATCAAAAACAGCAGGACTATAAAGTAATCGGACGATTCTTTCCAAAGCCCAGGCAGTGGGTAAACCCAACTTTTTACTCCACATTGCAGCTTCTTCCGAAGTGAGAGCGCGACGGGGTGCGTCAAGATCGAGTCCATTATGTCTTTCTTCAAATGCATAAGGATTTGGTTCAGGGGACTTTTTGGAGGAATTTACATTAGAGGATGGTTTACCATTGAGTTTATTATATTCAGGGGATGGAGGTTCTTCTGAATCGTTAGGCTCATACTTGATAGTGGGTGCACGCAACATTGGTGGTAAAGGATGATTTGTGGAATACGAAGATGAGTGATGAATAGCAATTTGACTAGGTGCAGAATGATTAAAGCTTATGCTAGAAAAAGATGTGTTAGGCCGTAAAACACTTGAATTTGAAGCGGAGGATACACATGTATCAGGAATCCCTTCGATATCGTTGGATAAAATAGGTTCCAAAGGACGTTTTATAGGAGAAATTCCACCCTCTGATTTACGGCTGTAACTTTGAATCCTGGTACTCCGGAATTTATGTTGTTCGGCTAGTGCCAAAAGTGAAGTGTCTGCATACAGTTTGTAACCTGATTCTTTGGAGATACGAGATGCCTGGCAACACAAAGTAAGCAGTTCTTGAGGAATACGAGCATGGACTCCTAGAATATGACGTCTGCAATCAGCTAGACTTGCTGGCCTGATATCACTTTCAACTTCATCACGTACAACCTGTAAAACAGGAAAACATTGATAATAAGTTTTCATTGATTATGCTGCTTTTAATAAACATAAGTATAAGCGTAATTAACGACATACAATTAACTGTCATGTTATAATATATATATATAATTACTGGTTATAAAAACAGAAAAAGCCGTTAAAGAACTTACAGCGAAACGACGTCCACATACGCAAATATATGAGTAAATTCTATTCCCACGTGAAACAACAGTAAGATGGTGTTTAGAGTAGACTTGCATTTTGACTACTAAATCATCGTACTGATCCAGCATACCTTCTCGTTCCAATAAAGCACGTAGTACATGGTCGGAAAAAGGAAGATCTATACGTCGATGATGTTCTTCATTCTGTTTCCCACTTTCATCCAAATGAGTATCATTAGTTGTTACACTGTTATTGTCTAGCATCTTAGTGGGAGTGTGGTTTTCGTTAGTATTGATATTCACGTTAGCAGTAAGAAAACGATTATCACTTTCTTCATCAGCCCCATGCATTCCCTCATGATGGCTATCATCATACAAATCAGTTTCGATAGTTTGTGTTTCAAGTTCTTCTTGATCATTAAGTGAAACTTGAGACCTAGAGAGATCAGTTGTGTAGTGATTATTCTCTTCATTCATCAACTGTGAATGTGTTTCACTTGACTCTTCTCTTACTTCTTCAACATCACTGTCAGTTGAAACAACTTTCATGTTTGATTTTGCGTCAGTCATTTGAATTTGCCGCCGCCTGTGATCTTCTACAAACCGAATCATTCTGTCGTCTGAATGTAGGCGATATGTTGTTGTATCGTGCCTAGAAGCTCGAAGACAAAGTCTAAATCGCTTTGTAGAAATGCCACAGTGGGAACCCATTATATGTTTACGAATATCAGCCAGAGAGTGCACCGAAGTATACATACATGTTGGACAAGAAAAACGTTTTTGCGCTCCCCCGGGAACTAAGACATCCATTATGACATGTAGTCTAGCGTAATGATTCATGCGGTTGACTAGTTGAATCCTTTCCTGCGTTGGAACTTGATAGGCTTCCAGTAAACGTTTAAATACAGGGAAGGAATATGCTAATTGGATACGCTGACGCCCTACTTTTGGAAGGAAAATTTCCGTACCACCTGAATAACTAGAAGTTTGAGGCTGACCTGCAGCCACAACAGCAGCAACTATCGGGTTGCCCATTTCATCAAGAGGAATAATACCACCTCGGCCAATAGGTGCTTGAGCAGAGACCTCTTCTAGCGACCGCATGTCCTCATAATGATCAGAGACGCCGGTTCCTGGAATAACACGATGTACTGGAGCTCCACCAGAATACGAAGACCCAGGAGTAACTAGAGTTGGAAGACCATCAGAAGAAACAGTAGCTAGTGGTTCTGTTGGTGAATTTTGAGCTTCGTCGTAATTACCCGTGGAAGGGCGTTTAGAAAGAGGGCTGGTGAGAGGCAAAATCGGGAAAGGTTTACGACGGAACGCTTTACTAGATAGACGCCCATTTCGGATTCCGAGTGGATGTTTTGACTGGGGAGAAATACCAGGATGAATACGTGAATCACTAGCCTGAATAGCAATTCCACTAGTATGGTTTCTGCTTGAATGAGTGAAATCAATGGTAAAGCGAGATATATCACGACGAACACCAAGATGAGTTACCAGAAGATGCTTCTTGAGGTCTGTAAAACCATGATTGAACGGTTTAAGGCATTCAGGGCAACCAGCAACACGGCGTTGGTTTGCTCGGCCAAGAATAGGAACACGATAACTAGCGAATCGACGCAATTTTTCCAAGACAGCGGGTAGTTCTTCGTTTTCAGCATCATTATTTGGATTGTTAAACTTTTCATTTTTCATATAAGCAGCTACAAATGCTTGTTCGTTAAAGTATAATTGAACATATTCTTCAGCAGTTGTTTCAATGATATTATCGGATTTACAGTCTGCTGCAGAAACATCGGTAGAGGAATTGGGATTAGAGATTTTGTTGCTAGAAACTGTATCCTTATTTGAATTCCTTAACTCATCGTTATCACCTTCAACACCAGCATGTTCTTCACTGTCTCCTACTTCATCAACTTCACAACTATCAACTGACGACGGTCCTTGGACATTTGACAAATGTTTAGCAACTTCAGCCGACAAGTTTGAGGTTGAGCAGAGTAAGGGGAGATCATGGCGCAACGTGATCCCATTGTTATTATGAAGAAAAGCTGAATTCCCAGATGAAAAGAAGTTTGGTAGTTGTTGAAGTGAAGAATTAGGTACATTTTCCATATTTTTACTGATGAAATTATAATTTTCAGTGATAGATTCATCTGAAATAGGAACTGTGAAGTCTTCAGTGATAATCCCATCTTCCTATGAACAAGAAAAAGAAGATAAGGTAGTATTAGACATGTATATATTGCAGTTTAGTGTAGACAAAATATCAGATCATACTACTGAATACATTGGTAGATGGAGCAGGATTCGAGCCCGTGACTTGCCAGTTAAGAGTCGAGGGCCTATACCAATAAATCACAGCTCCAAGTACTCAGGTACATTGCGTAAGTCTTCCACAACTAGGTTGATAAGGTTAGCTTAAAAGAAAAAAGTCGTAATGTAAAGTTCAAGATACTTATGAGCAGGATAGTTACAACAGTTTGAACTTATATCTGTCAGAATTCCTTTGTCTGTCTATTTTGTTTGTTTATGACATAGAACTTTGCACATATGTGCGACAGTTCAAGTCGCCACACTCCATGTAGCACGCAAAGCAAGAGGAGAAATGCATAATAGAGACAGTAAACATAGGTGTGAGGCAAAGGAATAGTAATAACGAAGAACAAAACAGTTTCATTGGAAATCATAAGTCACAAGGAGTGGATGCATCTGCGCTATTGAGAACGATTTTGAGTCATGCCACCAAGTTTCCAACCATTGGTTTTTACCGTCCCGGGGACCCCAACCCGGAAGTCTACATCCTCTTACGTGGCTTAAACTAACTGTTGTGGATTTCATTGACTGGTGAGGCCATGTTTTGGTTTGACCACCACTGGCTCTTTTCCAGCCTGACCCCATATCAGCTAGCATTTCCCGTCGAGGAAGGCGATGACTACGCATGCATGCGTAACGCATGTCCTAACCATCTCAGTCGATGTAATTTCACAGCCTCGTCGATTGATTCCCCCTCCTTACCTAGAACTCGACGCCCAACCTCAATATTGTTCACCTTATTATACCACTTCACACGGGAGATAGAGCGCAGGCACCTATGATCAAAGACAGCTAATCTTTTCATGTCTTCCACTCTCAATGGACAGGTCACACAGAATTCCTTTACGAAAAAAGGATAAAATATGTACATACAGTGTGGCCTCATTATTCGTACGCCATAAGATTTTAAAACACTGACTGACTGACTCAACATGGGATATTACACAGATGTGCATCACTTCAAGTTGCCACACTCCATGAAGCACATAAAGGCAGAAAAGAGAGAAAATTCAGATTCAAAAGGACTACAATAAGTGGAAAATTTAGGGAGAAAAAAAAGTAACATGGAGAAACATTAGGGGTTTGATGAATATAGAAAATCTTAAAAAGTGAATGCATCTGCACCACTGACAATTACTTTGAGCCATATCATCAATAGTCTCTAACCATTGGTTCTTAGAATTCCCAGGACTCCAACAATGTAGCTTACACCTCCCTACATGGCTCAAACCAATTGTGAAAGACTTTAAGGACTGACATCAGGTTTTGGTTTGACCACTGCTAACTTATTTTCAACCTATTCATGTGTCAGTTAATATTACCTGTTGAGGAAGGTGGTGATGGCTAGGACATATGTGTTACTCATGCCCAACACTTAACACCTAATGCGGAAGATAGAACGCAGGAACCTATGATCGAAGACAGCTAGCCTTTTCATATCTTCCGCTTCCAGTGGCCATGTCTTACATCCATAAAAGAGGGATGGAGAGAACTATTGGGTAGTACACATATTATTCGATTGATAGCGGAAATTATGGAAAACGCCACACAAGCCTTATGTATCTGTGCTTGGATTTCGTCAGCAATGACTCCGTTGGGGCTTATGCAAACTCCAAAATAATAGATCAAAGCAACCAGTTAGGTTTGATAACCAGTAAAGTTTGACGAAAGTTTGTATATAGCTGAACCTCCCCGCCATCCAGCACACACCCGAATGGGATATAGACACTGGTCCGCCGTCTGTAAGTGAGGTCACAAAAGCTATCTGTAATCTGAAACGAGGCAAAGCGATAGAACCCAACGGAATTATTCTGGAGGTGTTTAAATATAAGGGTGACATACTAGTTTGTAGATTAACTGAGGTACTAGGCAAAGTCTGGGAATCAGAGACGGTTCCATCAGACTGGGGTAAGTCACTTATTATACCGATATTCAAGAAGGGAAACAAGTCCTCGTGTGATAATCATAGGGGGGTCAGCCTAACGAACATAGTTTCTAAAATCCTAGACTCAGTAATTATGCATAGACTAAGCAGAACTCGAGAGGAACAAACGAGGGAAAATCAAGCAGGCTTTAGACCAGGTAAAGGGTGCATAGATGATATCTTCACTCTCCGACAGATTCTAGAACACAAACACACTTTTCGGCGTCCAACAATTGCCATATTTCTTGACTTGAGGGCGGCCTTCGCCTCCGTGGATCGAAAGGTACTATGGCAATGTTTGACTGTGAAGGAAGTGCCAAGAAAGTACATTGCACTAATCAAGACACTCTATTCAAACTCACGTAGTCGTGTAAGGGCTTATGGGGAATTGTCATCTGAATTGATAACAACCAGTGGTGTCCGACAGGGAAGTCCACTTCCCCCATTCCTGTTTACCTTCATTATAGATATGCTAATGAAAGTATCCTTAACTGAACTTAACGACTTAGGAGTCGACTTGTTACCAGGGTATAGTCTTATGGACTTAGAGTATGCAGATGAAATAGTTCTGTTAGGGGAGGATGCTGACAAAATCCAGCAGTCTTTTGAACACCTTGAGCAGCAATCTTAATATGTTTGGCATGCGATTTGCCCCTGCAAAATGTAAGATGCTGCTACAGGACTAGACTACGTTAACTCCTACCTAGCTTAGTGATAGAGCATGTTGACCACTTCACCTATTTGGGAAGTTGTATCAGCACCAACGGACTGATTGGCGACGAAATCTCAGCACGGATCCAAAAAGCTCAAGCTGCTTTCGCTGACTTACACACCACCTCTGGCGTAGGCGTGACATCCGGCTATCAACCAAGGGACGTATGTACTGGTCAGCAGTTCGCTCCGTCCTTCTCTATGGCTCTGAAACGTGGCCAATACGAGTTGAAGACATGAAAAGGTTGACTTTTTTCGATCATAGATGTCTGCGATCTCTTTCTCACGTTAGGTGGTTTAATCTGTCTGTCTGTCTGTTTTCGACATAGAACTTTGCACAAATGTGCGGAAGTTCAAGTCGCCACATTCCGTGTAGCACGCGAAGCAAGAGAAGAAAGTACAAGAAAAGCATAATAGAAACAGTGAGCAGAGGTGTGAGACAAAGGAGTAATAAAGAAATACAAAACAATTTCATTGAAGATCATAAGTCACAGGGAGTGGATGCATCTGCGCCACTGAGAACGATTTTGAGCCATGTCACCAATTGTTTCCAACCATAGATTTTTACCGTCCCGAGGACCCCAGCCTGGAAGTCTACACCTTCCTACGTGGCTAAGACCAACTGTTGTGGATTTCATTGACTGATGCCAAGTTTTTGTTTGACCGCCGCTAGCTTTTTTCCAGCCTGACCCTATATCCGCTAACATAGCTCGTCGAGGGAGGCGATGACTTGGCATACGTAACACATGTCCTAACCATCTCAGTCGATGTGGTTTAATAAGGTAAGTAATGTTGACGTTAGGCGAAGAGTGTTGGGCAAACAGGGAAAATCAATCGACGAGGCTATAAAGTTACATAGATGGAGATGGCTAGGTCACGTGCTGCGCATGCCTAACCATCGCATCTCCCGATGGGCATTGCTAGCTGATATAGGTGCAGGTTGGAAAAGGGTAAGTGGTGGCCGAACAAAAATGGCATCAATCCATGAAATCCTTGAATCAGGTAGGGAGATGCAGACTTCCGGGTTGGGGCCCTCGGGACTCTAAGAGTCAATGGTTGGAGACAATAGGTGACATGGCTCAAAATCGTTGTCAATGGCGCAGATGTATTCAGTCTCTGTAATCTTCCATGTTCCTTTCTACCATTACCCATTCTATTTCGCTCTTATATCTGTCAAACTCTATTGATTCTCTTCACTCATCTTCTTGTCTACCTTTGTGTGCTATTTGGAACGTGGCAACTCGAACTGCTGCACTTCGGTGCCAAGTTCTCTGTTGAATCCAGACAGAGATAAAGGTGTAGCAGACAACGAACACAACTGTGCGTCGGTGGCACAGTGGTTAGGACTCTCGCCGACCATGCACATGGTCCGGGGTTCGAGCCCGCACCGACGCACACCTGATATCTATGGTCGGCCTGCAAAATTTGGGCTACCGATATCCATGCTGAAAATTCCATACTTGTACCGAAAATACAGTGTGGAATCAAGCTGTATATAAAAAAAAAATCAAATCAAAATATATTCACAAGCATATTCGCAAATTCAAATAGCGATAAAATATACACACGTGAAGATTAAGGAATATGCTAATTTGTAGTCTGTCATGGAAATTTTAATCGATATGTACCACACAGACAGAGGTCACCGTAGAACCTTATGTAGAGATGAACCAAGTAGCTACATTTCCAAATGCCAAGCAAAACAGAGAACAGAATGAAATTATAATCAACAAACATAAGTGTGAGGAGATGTAATAGGCAAATGCATGCAAGCCTCGCCTTCCATCACGTTCAAAATCATTGGTTTCGATAGATATGGGTGAAAATAAAGAGGTTTTTTTTCAGTAATCCCATAAATATATAAAAGATTGAGTGCGATGAACTTCTTTAGAATAAGAATTGCTGCCATGATTAAATATACCTAGTTAACTCTAGATTCGATCTATACTTGACATTTTCATCGATCCGTTAGTTATGCAGTCACTGTCCGATAAGTCGCAGGGGATATATATGTATATATACACTTCCAAAATTGTAACAAAAGATAATTGCTGTTCGTTCGTCGGTGCAGGATTCAAACACACCTCAATTTTTCTACTCATTCTTAATTACTTAGAATAGATCTGTTATATACCAGGCTATGAGTAACACGTATTTTGTATGAGGGTTAATGATACCTCTCAGCCACCGAGACAGAAGCAAGTAGTGTGGGACTCGAATCCGGAACCCATTAGCTGAAAGCTCAGGGCTCAAGTCAATGAGTCAAGACTACACTTTTTTACTTATTGATCAAGGCAACCATGTGAAGTGACCAAATACAAGCGCTTCCTTGTTTGCATTACAGTTTACAGTTTCTGGTCAAACTCCTTTACTTCGTCTAAACTACCATCAACGCTTATGAAAGCTGCGATCATCGAGGAATACAGATCAGTATCTTAGTTTTCCTTTATTCCTAGGGATTTGTGACAGTATATCAAGAAGTATATACTGGGATACACGGGGTAATGAGTTCCCTTTTATGGGCCTTGATACCCAGCAAGTCAATGATAAGTAGCCACAGAATCTCCTGACATGCGTAGAGTGAACTTTATACGTTGACTATATCGTGTGAGATTAGGTGAATGATGACACTTCTGTCCTATGTGGGTGTATCGGAAATATATTTAAGGTTCGTAGCTGAAACCTCCATTATAGAGGTAGCAACATGGTACTAAGAGACTGGAAATGATGGTCTCAAGTTTTAAATTCTTGCTGATCGTTGAAATGACTGAACTCTCACAAATTTATTCGAAAGTGTGACAACCATAACATCTTCATCACAATGTAAGTGACATAAATACTACTACTAGTCTTACCACTGACTAACCTGCGCTTTCGATAAGCTTGCACGTGCAAGAACAGTAGCGGTAGCCAGTATACTTTTTCATTGTGATACACAGACTCCAATACTAAGTTAAGTCAACACCTTTCGGTAAGGACAGTGATTACATTGCTCATATTTAGCTGAAACACCGGATGTGGAGTTCGGATACGAAGTGTAGACTTTGAGATAAGGTAAGGAAGCGAATTGTTTGTACACACTAAAACCTCCTCTTTTAGGATGTATAAATGATTCAAGATAACAGACAATCCACTGGCTTCTGGTTAATCCAAACTTATTCTGGTGCAGCTAACAATCATCGTCGAGTGTTTCGTCAGCGTACGCAACGAAACCTAGCCACTTGATTTAGTGAAGATTTCGAATTTTTGACCGATGCTTTGCTCTTTTCCACTTCGACGTTTCTATTTGTGATTTTACTACTCATGAGCAACGTTGTGAATAGCTGAGTTAAATTTGAGAGGTTTTGTGTGCATTTCGGATTGTGAGGGCGATTGTTACTTCCCGGCTGCCCACACCGTGGAAGTTGGTTGCGTGACCGCAGAGCACAGGGGACAACTGCTTGAGGCCGGTCACACGCAGCCTGTTTTTGATTGTTCTTTACTGTTTGGTGTGTCTCAGTAGCATATTTATCACTCCTGCCCTGTGACACGGCAGCAGGAAGCGCGGTCGTTGTTAATCCGGGCCACGGCCGATCCGGCATGAAATTTTGTAATTTTGTTTGTATCATAATGGTGGGTTGGGTAGCTGCTTTTTGTTTTAACCGCTATCCAAACAACCTGCCTGGCATGGTAGGACCTCAAGAGACATAAGTCTCAGCCAGTATAGCTTGATTAGGTCATTGCGGTGTTCAAGCCCGACCACCACGTCAAGGTAGCAGCTTTCGGTTGGGCTGAGTTAAAACCCGAGACTTACCATTCAGAAGTCGAGCGTTCCTATCAGTACAGCTGACCAAAGCAGAAAAAATTTGCTGCGTTTGTACGTGACAAATTTATTCAGTTTCCGACAATGAATTCACGAAGAATGGAGCGATAGGTTACTGAGACAAATCAACTGTGACAGCTCATTTAGTGCTGGGAATTCGAAGTAGCTCATTTGAGGTGTATGAAACTTAGAAATATTATCGGAGGTAAGCCGAGTCAAGCACATGTAATGTCAGTGACACTGAGGGTTTCAACATAGAACTCTGCACAGCAGTTCCAGTTGCCGCACTTCACTCGTCACTCAAAGCAAAAGAAGAGAGTAAAAAGAAATGCAAAACGGAGACAATAAACACGTGTGTGACGCAAAAAGAATAGTTATATGGAAGAAAGTTTTATTTGATATCATAAATCACAAAGAGTGAATGCATCTGCACCAGGCCAGCCGTTGACAACAATCACTTTGAGCCATATCACAAATTGTCTCCAGCCTTCATTGGTTTTTATCATCCCGAGGACCCCAACCAGTCTGGTAGTCTACACCGCCACACGCGGATGGCTAGCTGGCTTAAAGTAACTGTTGTGGATTTCATTGACTGATGAAGCCATGTTTTGGTTTGACCACCGCTAGCTAACTCTTTTCCAACCTGATCCAGCCCATGTCAGCTAACATCGCCCGTCCGGGAAAGTGGTGGCTAGACAGGCGTGCATAACACATGTCCTAACCATCTCTCTCAATCGATGCAGCTGTTTCACAACCTCGTCGATTGATTTCCCCTCCCTAATTACCTAGCACTCGACCACCGATGCCTAACCTCAATATTGCTCACCTTATTATATCGCTTAACACGGAAGATAGAACACAGGCACCTATGATTGAAGACAGCTAGCCGGGTTTTTCATATCTTCCACTTTCAATAGACATCTGACGCACAGCCATAAGGGAGGACGGAGCGGATTGCTGAGCAGTACATACATCCTTTGGTTTACAGCCAGCCAGATATCACGTCTACGCCACAGACGGCGTAAACTGGGATATGCGAAACTAGCCTTTTGTACCCGTTCTGAGATATCGTCAGCGATCAACTCGCTGGCATTGGCTCATGCAACTTCCCGAATAAGTGAAGTGGTCAACGTGCTCAACCACTTCACTCCCTATTTCTAAGCTAGGAGTCGACGTCGTCCAGTCCTGTAGCATCCTCTTACATTTGACGGGAGCGAATCGCTTTCCAAGCATTCTTAAATTTCTGATGAATTTCTTCAAAAGATTCTGCATTTTGTCAGCGTCTTCACTTAGAAGGACTATATCATATGACAGTCAGTGATAGACAACGAAGCGAGTGTTTCACTTTGGTTAGTAGCTATGGCTTATTGGAAAGCCAGGTAGACGAATACAGAATCATAGTGAAAAGATTGTACCAGGTTTAAAACTATTGTGCGAATTAACAAAATTTGAAGTTAGTACACAAATATATCATAATTTAACTTAGTATTTGTATATGATATCTACCTTACTTAACTTATCTCTTAAGAAAATAAATAAGTGCAGTTATATGAAACCTGAAAATTATTAGGTCAAAAAAACTTAGTCTGTGTGTTTTTAGAGAGTATCAGATTGGCTTAAAATTGAAACTTATCTGAGAACTGAAGCTGTAGAATAACAAAACAATCTCATGCATATAGTGACAAAATTAAGTTATAACTTTACCAATAAAGAATATTTCTAGTCAGACATACCTCTGAGAGTAAGGGATGCATATCTTGAATATGTTCGGCAAGCATGCTTCGGACGTTAGTCATCCAGCCGCATTCAGAACAACGATGAAGAACACAGGTGACGGACAGAGACGTGATGAGGAGATGGGAAGAAATAGTCCGACATATCGCCAAGTGTTGGGCAAAGTTTTCCAAATGAACTGTTCCAAACGAACAATGCGCACAGAAGAATGTGCACGGAACACGACTATTTAATCTAATAATCCCAGATGAGTGTTCCTGAATCCGAATGGGTCGTAGTGATGATGGCCATGAACACATATACTAGAACAAATGTAAGAATTATTAGAAGGAACATACCGAATAAGACGCGAAAACCAGAGGGCTGTTAGTTCCATGGAAATTCACAGCATGCTTCTTAACTAATTCTGCGTTTTTGGATTTGACATGACACTCAGGAAAACAACAGTGATATAAAACGAGAGAATATTTGTTAAGGTGAGTCTTTAGTTCTGCAGGTGATTGCATAGACATGTCACAGTGGTTACATTTAAAGAAAATGTCGCTTTTATTCATATTGTGTATGGTCAAAGCGTGCTGTGCAAGAGCTTTCATCGTGCTGTAAGCTCTCGGACAACATGGACAAATGTACGGTAAGTCCTGGACATCCGTTGGGCAGAAATGTTTGTCTATGTGCTTTGATATAGACGCAGATGAAACCATTTCGGAGCAATAAATACAACGAAGGTTTCTACTTTCAGGATGAACAGATCTGATGTGTATTTCCAAGGCATGTGTTTCATTTGAACAAACGGAATAGACAGGAGAGCAGAGTGTGCAAAAGTAATTGTCAGACGAACTTTCCAAGACATTGATTGGAAGGTTGTCATCGACGGGTTCCATGACTCGGTTAAGAGTACTTCCTGTATTCTCTTGATATGTCAACAAGAGATGCTAACGACCTAGAGCGTAGAGTCCACGGTTCAAAATTGCACCAAACTTGACGAAGATAAACAAAAACAGTATAAATTCAAAAGTTGTATATTTTTTTAGTAGACTGTTTTAATGTTATTTATTAAAAAATGCATATTTGATTTTAAGAGTTCATTCAACGAAAATGTTTACCGCTCATATCAAGTTATGTGATATCGTGATAGTAGCTTTGGCTCGATGTGTGAATATTCGGAGTTGGTGCCGATCATTCTCTGTATAAACCACAGATTTGCTTGTAAACGCCTAAATGAAATTTGCTGAGAAATTAAATGCTCATCTCACTCCTGAATGGAGAACTCAGTACATTGATTATGATGTAAATTGATATTATCAGATTTTATTGTTATAGGAACTTAAAGAACATCTGTATAAATATACACAAGTGTTGGAATCCTTACCTTGTAACTTTTTTACATTTAATTACGGTTATATCTATCATTGTAGGTCTCACTGAGGAGGAAACCAAGGCTTATTTAGACGAATGCGACGAGGAATTTTTTCGTCTGTGTCAGAATGCGCTGCGAAAAATTGAAGTATTTTTTTCTGGTAAGGCCGCTTTTCTTGCTGAATGAATCACTCAGAGAAAATTGCGGAGGCCAACAGAAAGTTCACCACACTTGTGGACGAGCTGGAGAATTATGTTGAATCAACTCAGCACAAGTCTTCTGCTTGGATGGTTGGTTCTAGATCTTCTATCTCCAGGAAGCTAACAGAGTCATTTGTTAGAGAAGCTGATAAGTTCAGGCCATCAGTTCGAGAAAATGGCTCGGTTATTACACCTACTCAGAGCAAACTCAGTAAAATACAGCTGGAAGAAAACTCAGAGTTGCGCCGTCGTCAAAGTCGGTCAAAATCATCCGACAAAACCAAGTATGATGCTCTGAATTTTAATAAGCGCAAAAAGACTTTCCGGAAACTGCATGACCTGAAACTGGCTTTTAGTGAATTTTATCTCAGTCTTGTTCTGCTTCAAAATTACCAGTCATTGAATTTCACGGGGTTTAGGAAGATTCTGAAAAAGCATGACAAGGTAATTGATTTGTTGAGATAAATGTGTCAACTGGCTTTTACCTCTGGGAGTACGCAATACTTCTGATTTTCATATTTTGAATCTATTTTGAGAGATTTGTTTTATAAAGCAGTTTATATTTTGGTTTACGGTCTCAGAGTTTCGTCAGTTAGTATATCACCTTGTAGCCAGTGCATATCGGTCTTTTGTTGAGGATACAATTTTTAATATTTCTCATCAGTTTTTTTCGAATTTCAACATTTCCTGTTAGTGTTTGAACTAGTATATAGGAAAGGGTTAATGGGATATATCTTATTTTACTTATACACAATAAGGTATTCTGGGAGATGAACATGAATGGAAGTTTATACTAAGATTCCACACATGTATTCATATTCTCTAGTGGAGCTATTTGTTCGTTCCTGTTTGTTATCTTAAAAACTTGAATATCACTCATATTCACTGGTCATTTGTCTTGTCTTAAATCTTTTGATAACTCGAAAACTATAGGGAGTCACAAATTTTCTCCAATAGCCGTACAAGTTCATCTCATTTTCAATAACAACGGTATAAATAAAGTTGCTAAGTTAGCTTTAAAACACTTTTAAGCGTGAACATCTACATTTAGTGGATTCATAGCTTCGTATATCAAATGTTCAATGCACAGTCAAAAACTAATGCACTTTTCTCTCTTTCTGTTCTGTTGTCATCGGAAATCCTGTTAATTCATATATCCTACAACCACAGCTTTTTGTATGTGGAAGAGTGAAGAGGTGGTTTTCAGTATTTCTGTGTGCCTATAAATATGAGATTTTTGGATCGGTTGTCCTCTTAAAAATCCGCCTCACTCCTGGTAGAAGTTAATCGAGTGACCTCATTCCATTTTTGTTGCAGGGATATATGCTATGATGAACCCAATTATTTTAAATGAAATTAAAATAACTTATTATGCTTCTTTGCTTTGAGACTTTGGCAATTCGTAATTGTAATGACTTCGAAATTCTATTAAGTAATTTTTTTCTATGAGATAAAAGTCCCAATTTAACTTTTTCTCGTTGTTAGCTCTTGCGTCGAAACACTGGACTAATTTGGCGACAACAGGTAGTCGAATGTGCACATTTCAATACCAGCAGAGAGGTCGATGATCTCATTACAGAAGTCGAAGTGAGTTTTCAGATGTGTGTTCCTGATCTTATTCTCAGGCAAACTCTTGGGAAAAATCTCTAAATAGTAGTGTGTCAAAATGACGTTTCATCACTTTATCTTATGTCTTATAGTTTTTTCATCTAAAGGTCTTAGTATAATTTGTACTATCCATTTGAAATTGTCACTTTTTACTTACCACCGCATGATACATTGACAAAAGAGTGTTGTCTGAATTCTTGAGGTCATGGGTGGTGAAAGTCGGCAGGTGCTTTTTTCTTGTTGCCCTCCGTAGTTTTCTTGGATTTGATTAATTAAATGTGAAATTATTACCCTGCTGCCTTAGTATTGTGTTTTTGGCTAAAACTGCAAGGCACAAATAAGGTAAATGTCACTGAATTTGATTACAACGAGTTTTGAGGGTAAAACAGCTTGAATTCCCAGTTTCATTATAAAATAACAACATACTTATAATTGGAAATTTGGAGTTGTCAAATAGTTAATATCTGGTCTGCTACCCAGCACCATTTTCAATAGAATCCACTGGAAAGGACAATCACACAGATCGATGGGGCAGGCATTTGGGACATCCTTCACCAACACGACCGATCACTATATTTCCAGTCATTCAGAGTTATCACAGAATTCAGCTGAGACAAACAAAACTACTTTTAGTTGTTTCTATCCCAAGATATCATCTGCCTTCTTGCAAGTTAGGGCATAGTTTCATGTAATAGCTCTGTAGTTAACCATGTAGCATTTATTACCTAAGGAATTCCTTCATTCGCGGTTTCTCGGTCTTGTGGTATATGCCTGAACATTCATGGCTTATTCTGTGAGACAATTATATGATTACTGGCAGGATAAACCGGTCTATTCACGTAGTAATATACTCATTGGTTAGGTGATTGTACATTGTTTTTGAGGGGAGACGAACGATCAGCCTTTTACAAGACAAGAACCGTATGGTCTAACTCTTAGACACAGCCAAACGGATGCATTCTATCTGTTTTACATTTGCAATATCAGTAAATGTATGGTCAGGCAGAGTTACACACTTTTGCACTGCATGGACGGGTCAGATTTGACATATCCTTCTTACATTACTGGTCAACTGTATTAGTATAAGCAAGTTTATGAAGACTATTGCAAACCGTCCGCAACCATACCAATGAGCTTTGAGTATATTATGACTCTCGGCTGTAGATATCAGTATGGATTATGCCATAATGACAGTATACTGTGTAGGCAGTTGGCAAGGCTGTGTAACTTAAGGACTGAATACCCAGACAAGCTTGAAACCTAGGATCACAAGTTGTAACTCAATTATTTTGTATCCAAAAGTCATCTGAGGACATTTTACAAATATTTACTTTTTCATATTCTTAGACTCTAAGTTAAGGGTAGTGGTCCTGGTTAGTGTAACGTCGCAAATAACACTTAGAAATTTCTACCTATAATCACCCATTACTTTATTCATCTAAACTTCTAAGTGTGATACATTAGGGGGTCTTAAGCACTCTACTTTCATGTTTTTCACACAGATGTAAGTGAGAGCTGGTCTCTTTGCGAGTTTTTGTTTTGCTTTCAGTACAGATGAAACAGTCGATTTAAAAGTGTTCTTACCCAACTTCACTTTATCTTTAGTTTTCACACTTGGTCATTTGGCTTATTTTGTTTCATGTTTGTGCTGGAAACCAAAACCGACGATCAAAAGTGGTACAGATAATTTTCCAGGTACCCTTGTCTTCTCCTTGTTTGAATAACCGAACTCCATTCATGTTAGCACTTCACTGAATAGGTGTTTAATTTATTGTATGAAATAATTCTGAAGTTCTGTTTTATTTTTTTTCTCGCTAAATGGGATGAGAATTCTACCGAACTTAAAATTGTAAATTTCAGTACATTTATTTAATTTTTGGGAAAAAAACTGAACTTTTGTGGATGAGAGTTTTTATTTAAGCACCCTGTGATGTCAATAATGAATAGATAAATTCACTCTTGTCTTCAATGGTCAATGAACGGAAAAGTGAAATTTTGTGTAACTCGTTTTCTTTTTTCTTTTCGGTATATTTCGGAGAAATTTAACAACAAACTACTGCATTCTTTTTGAGGGTAATATCATTTGATAAATTTCTTAGACTGTGCTGAAATTAGTCTAAATGAACTCTGATCACGATTTGACCCACTGATACCATAGACACTGGGCACCATCTGAAAAGTAGATAGATGTAAAAAATCTGACATTTTTAATTTGAGTATTTTCCTGAAAACGTCCGGACTGGTTTATCAAAAGAAGGATTAGAATCATTAATTTTCATATCTGTGGGATGTATACAATTACAAGTTTTGCATACCTATTGAGAATATTTTTATATTGAATACATGGAACTTGAAAATTTCGTGATAACATTACAAAAATTGCATTCTATTACTAATACTCATTAATAAGATGAAGCATATTTTAAATATGACTCCTTGGTGGTAATATAAGGAGTTAACAGAAAGGGTTGACGGATTTAATTTTTCCAAATGGTTAGATGTCACTGACTATTAAATTTATTTCGTCGTGGATTAAAACATAAATAACAAGAAAAATTAGATGTAAATATGAGTGATAATATTTATATAAAAGAATTAAGTACGTATTAGATGACTGGAGGCAATCGCCAGGAAGCCTACGACCTAGGTTTCGTCCTAGTTGGCACTCCTCAGCAAGGTGTATCTGCAATCACCTTGAAGGGGCTCATGTCCCTTCTGAGATTCGAACCCGCGTCACCCAGTGCTGCAGTCAGAGACGTTACCGCTGAGCTATTCAGTGCAATTACAGTAGTTACTGACTAGTGTGCAATCAAAAATATCCAATACACTCTTACAGGAGGTCAATCGCGAGCCTGGATAGCTCAGCGGTAACGTCTCTGACTGCAGCACTGGGTGACGCGGGTTCGAATCTCAAAAGGGACGTGAGTTCCCTCAACGTGATTGCAGATACGTCTTGCTGATGAGTGCTAATTAGCACGAAAGCTAGGTCCAAGCAAGGCTTCCTTCCGATTGCCTACAACCATCTAATACCAACAATTCACAGTGCACCTTAATGGCCAGCCACCTAGTGGCATGTTGGTCACATTGCAAGCTTGACTGATAGAATTCAGTCTGTGCACCGAAGATGGGACTGGACACATTACACTAGTTACTGATTAGTGTGCAATCAAGAATTAAGTACGTGTTTGTGACTAGTATACTTCTCTAGGCTAATCTACTCATTGAGTAACCTCTGTAAAACAATCTGTTAAATAACTAACTGTTAAGGAATATTATCAATCAGGGATTTATGTTGTTTCTTATTTATATTTATACTGTTTTAGTGGATTTGTGTTGACTCTTAAAAATGCTTCATCTGCTCTTCTGTCTTATGCTTCAACTTTAGAATATATTTACAGAGAAGTTGGAACAAGGGGACAGACAGAAAGCGATGAAGCGTCTACGAGTGCCACCACTTACTGAAAAGGTAACTATAGATTTATGACTTTATTATTTTTATTTTTTAATATTTCAATTTGCATCAGTCAACTAGTATTTGCGAAATGTAGAAAGTGAAGTGCACATCGTTTAAAAATGTTTTTCGGGTTTTTTCTCCTATAGCCTGATTACATACAGCTTTACAGTCGGTATCTGCCGTTGTAAGAAAACTTTTCATCTAGAAAGAAACTAATTTTTCGCTAGTGAACAACCACCTTGATTATTATTTTAGGTTGTTCACACTCTTTCATTTATATTTGAATTTTAATAATAGCAAGCTTGTCATGAATTTTCAGGTTACCGTATTATTTCTTTCCATTAAGCTTGTTGTTTTTCCATAGAATCTTATAGTAAAGTATTTCGCCTTCATTGACTGACGGACTGACTGGTTTCAACATAGAACTTTGCACAGATGTGCAGGAGTTCGAGTCGCCGCACTTCACTCATCATACAAAGCCAGAGAAGAAGAAAAAGAAAAAAGAAAAACGAAACGCGAACTAGAGACAGTAAACAGAGATACGAGGCAAAAATAGTATTACCGAAGAACAATATAGTTTAATTGAGTATTATAGATCACAAGGAGTGGATGCATCTGCACCAGGCCAGCCGTTGACAACAATCACTTTGAGCCATATCACAAATTGTCTCCAGCCTTCATTGGTTTTTATCATCCCGAGGACCCCAACCAGTCTGGAAGTCTACACCGCCACACACGGATGGCTAGCTGGCTTAAAGTAACTGTTGTGGATTTCATTGACTGACGAAGCCATGTTTTGGTTTGACCACCGCTAGCTAACTCTTTTCCAACCTGATCCAGCCCATGTCAGCTAACATCGCCCGTCGGTGAAAGTAGTGGCTAGACAGGCGTGCATAACACATGTCCTAGCCATCTCTCTCAATCGATGCAGCTGTTTCACAACCTCGTCGATTGATTTCCCCTCCCTAATTACCTAGCACTCGACCACCGATGCCTAACCTCAATATTGCTCACCTTATTATATCGCTTAACACGGAAGATAGAACACAGGCACCTATGATTGAAGACAGCTAGCCGGGTTTTTCATATCTTCCACTTTCAATAGACATCTGACGCACAGCCATAAGGGAGGACGGAGCGGATTGCTGAGCAGTACACACTTCCTTTGATCTACAGCCAGCCGGATATGACGTCTACTAATCCATGACATAGGTTGGCAGGCGTATGCCAGACGAGCCTTCTGAGTCCATGCTGAGATTTCGTCAGCGATCAACTCGCTGGCATTGGCTTATGCAACTTCCCAAATAAGTAAAGTGGTCAACGCACTCCACCACCCACTTCAATCCCATCTGTTTTCAATCTAGGAGTCAATGTAGTCCAGTACTCTGTCATCATCTTACATTTAACTTGAGCGAATCGCATTCCAAACACTGCTAGATTTCTGATGAATTTGTTTAGAAGATTTTGCTTTTTGTCATCGTCTTCACCTCACCTAGGAGGACTATATCGTCTGCATATTCTCAGTCAACGAGATTATTCCCTTGTAACAGAAAAGTCAATCCCTGAGTCGCTGAAGTCACCTTAAGTTAAATCCATTAGTACATCCATGATGAAATTAAGTAGAAATGCGGATAGTGGGAATCCCTCACTGACAGACATCACTGGTTGTCATCATAGTTGTCAGATGAGAACTCTCCGTAGGCTCTCACCTGATTGGCTGCATGAGTTCGAGTAGGTTGAGTGCTTTGATCGGCGAGATATATTTTCTCCGCATTCCCTTCACATGAAAAAGAGAAGACTAAATGGGGATTTCTGAAGCTATTCCCTTCACAGCCAAACATCTCCGTAGTACCTCTTGGTAAACGGAATCAGGTCGAGAAATCTGACAATTGTTGGACGCCGCCAAGTATGCTTATGTTCTAGAATCTGTCAAATGGTGAAGATGTGATCAATAACCCTCTTCCTGGTCTAAAGCATACCTGGTTCTCTCTTGTTTGCTCTTCTCGAACAATAAAGTTAATATTTAAGTGCTGGTGAAGTTGTATTGAAGATAGATAGTGTTTCTTAATGACAAATCTACTCTAGTTATTATAAAGTATTCATCATTTCATATTCTGATTTTCTTTCTCTTCATCAATAAATTTTGTAGAAAAAGAATCAACAGTCATTATCCTGTGTCAAATTGACATGTGAAAGGTGAATCGGGAAGATATCAATATTTATTCACGTTACATACAACTTAATTATTTATTTATTCTACTATTTGTCTACTTTTTTCGTTTGTTATCTCCCTCTTTTTTATTTTTTGTTTTGTAGTTTAATCCTCGTAATTTATTTCTGTTTGGCTTATATGTTGGAATTTTTCTGGCTCAGTTTACTGTTATTGTGTTAACTGGTAAGTTTTTTTATAAAATGGATATTGTCAGCACTTTTTCTTGATTCTGTAAAAAGGTAAATAATCTGAATGTTTTTCTTAACCTTTTTTTTAAGAGATGTAATTTATTGGATTATTAAACAAGTTGTGCGATTGACTCTTTGCACAATTGTAGTTATTGAAATTATTTGGTATTATATCAAATATACAGAAGTGATTTACAAGTTGTGTTCTCAGAGATATTATGAGAATAATAAAACAGTATTTGTACGTCGGTGGCACAGCTGCAGAATGCTCGCCAACCACGCCTCATGTGATCTGGAGCTCGATCCCCAGCCGAAGTACCCCTTTACCTCGCTAAGTCAGTAGTAAGAGTGGTAAAGAAAAAAGGCTGGGCATGCGGCTATCAACTCCCTCCCGTAAAAGCAAATACAGCTGCTACCGAAATTTCAAGTCTCTAGCTTGGAGCCGTATGTTCCACTGAGAACGTAAAGGAATAAAAAAATGAAAATAAAACAGTATGGCTTGATTTAAGTTCTTTAGAGAAATTAAGTTTCGACATTTTGCAGCATTTCATAGAATAATACCTAGAATTCTATCATTTCTTGTGTAATTTTATAATTCTAAAACAACCCCAGACATGCATTGAAATCTTACTTACTTGTCTTTAAATAGTATTCATTATGAGTTAGAGGTCGTTTGTCTAATAAACTAATAAGTATTCCTAAAGGGATTGTACACAAAAGCTGCTTTCATTTCCTGTAGGGAATTCATTTCACTAAAAACTGTTGATCTACTTTAAAAAGTAAAAGAAATAACGTGAAATCATCTGCATATATATAAAAAAAACATCTGGACTTTATTCTACTAGCCAATAACAGTCAACTTTCACATCGATTTTTTGCAGTTGTATGGAGAAGTCAACGCAATCCATAAAGTTGGGTATAAGTACAGTTTCTCGGTGATTTCGTTGGACGGTAGTATCTCTATTTTCCCAGTGGACAGGAGTGAGAATTCACGTTCATCGTTGGTCACATAGTAGCGTGTTCACTCCTGAAACTGACGACTGGGAATACCAATTGCTGAAGTTTCCCATTCAATGTCCTCTTGTTTTCAATGGTTCTCTGACTGATATCACTTTGTGATAAAATTTGTCTTGAATATATGCAAACTTGAGGATTCATCTTCATTCATCTGGATTAAGTGGTAAAGTTGAAAGTTTTGAATGATATAATGAAAACAAATTCATCAACTATATCAACAAATTTAATTGGTGGATGGTTACTAGAAGTGGGATCCAGGATAACGCGCATTTTGTCCTATTTGGGTCTCGTCATCTGGATATACCTGCATTCCCCAGTGAGTGATGATGTTCCCACCGAGGCTCGAACCTAGTGCCCATAGTTTTAAACACCAAAGCGTTATCCACTAGACCACTTCGGTCCTATCAATCGATGGGAAAACCTAAAATTCAATTAAATCATATCAACAAATATTCTAACACTTGGGAATAAGTTTAGTTATTCATTTTCAAACACATTTAATTGTGTGTTTTTCAAAATATTTTGTTTTCACTCTTTATTATTTATTTTCTTGAATAGTTGGATATCTACACCTAATTTTTATTTCATATTTAGGCATATTTTTACGTCCACTACCTCCATATTACCTTCCTGCAATACGATTGTTTCGTGGAACATTTCTTCTTATTTTCTTTCTCTGTTTATTTGGAGTTAACACTTATGGATGGCGTTCATCTGGTGTAAATAATGTTCTTATTTTTGAACTTGATCCACGAACACATTTAGATCATTTTGAATTATTACAGGTGAGTGATACATATTAATTTTTAATCATTTCCTATAAAAAATTATACTTCTGATTGTTTTTTTGGTAGTTCCCTTCTCATTCATCATTTCAAAGGTCAACATTTTTGTAGTTTGAAATATCCGGTTATTTACGATCATCTGAATTTCTCACTTAGTTATTGTTTTGGGATCAAAGTACATTTTTATTGATCAAGTTCAATCAGCTACCTGAATAAAGTTTAATACTCAGTCAGTTGGTTAATTTCACTTTTAGATGCAAGCGTGACTTACATGAATTGGTTAGTTCGTACGGTTCTACTATCATAGATGCCACATCAGTTGAAACTGAATCAAATGTTAAATACCTCGGACTGTGTATTTCCTCTGATCGCTTTCCCTGGCCTTCCCACATCATGTTAGTTTCCAGAAAGATATTTCTCTTGACACTGTACATAGGAAAGTTAAGACGATCTGGTATCATTCCGTCTCTACTGTCACCGTTTGTTAATTCTTGTATTCTTCCTATACTTCTCTACCGCTACCCCTTAATCTTTCCTTGGGCAACTTAACAAAGACATTTTATCCCCTGAAGATCATTAAAAGCCATCGGTAGGGTATGGTATACGAGCTCGCTGTTCTCGTAACCAGAAGGTCCTGCGTTTGAACCGTGGCAGTGGGTGCGTACTGCCGATAATTTCCAAACTAGGCTGAGGAAACAGCTGTTCAATATTCCCAGATGGTTTTCAATGGTTCTCTAACTGATGTCAGTTCATAATGAAATCCTCCAACCTATCAAACAAAATCCCTACAAAAAAAACCAATACTTGAAAATTTATTATTTGACAATATTTCAACTCACTATTATTTATTTCTTATAAATTCCTTGATAATTTCTGTAATTATCAAAAAGGAATTTGAAATAAGTATAGTTTTTTTCGTGGTGTGATTATTTTAGTATATAATAATCTGAATAATTTTCTGCATATTTTCAGTAGTCTTCTTTCAGACTAGTCATTATTACAATAACTTTCAAATAAAATCACGTTTATGAAAACACTTTTTTTAAACATCATTAGATTTTCAGTCTCTTAAAATGTCTAATCACCTACTCGTAAATTATTTCATTCTATTTTGAGTAAGGTCGAATAAACGCTATCTCAGTGTATACAATCTTATTTAATAAATTTTTTTGCTAGCTTCAATATACTATTGATTTTTCGTCGAATGTATACAATTCCTCTGTTAATCTGAATTTGCAAGATATGGCTCATTTGCTTTAGCGATTGAGGCATGATAGTTGGTGACAAAGATCGCAATCATAACAACAAAAGAAATATGACAGGAATTACGATAAAACATGTTTATGACAGAAATAAACGTATTCACTTTTGATGGCTTGCTTAAATCACTGGGCTGTCTGGATTTTCCATGCCGTTTCACATTGTTTTAATCTTCTCATTACCACAGTGAGTCGGAATCTATACTCGTGTACAATTCGGGATAGGTTTCTACCTACCGCTGTGAGTTTTTTAAAGGAATTGGAGGTAAGAACATTGTAGAGTAGTAGCTTTGGAGCATAGTTTGTATGGAAGAATATCTCTTCAGCTGATAGGTCCTCGATTATAATAATAATAATTTGCTTTATTCCAGAAACAGTACTAGTGGTACAGTGTGGAATTTTCAACACTTATCTACAATATAGCATCTAATTTTATCAAACATTTAAAAGGAGTATTTCAAAAAATAAATATAAAAAACAACAACAACAAAAAACAAAATAGCAAAAACAATGCGAAAAAATTACCAAGAAATAGAATGGAAAATAAACAACATAATAAATAATATCTCAATATTG